CCCCCAACCCCTTGCCTCAGTCCCCATCCCCCTCTCCGAGCCCCCAGCCCCTTGCCTGAGTCCCCTTTCCCCTCCCATCCCTTCAGGGCTTGGCTTACACGAGCTGTCTCCTGCCTCCCAGAAGCCCTCCTGCCTCTCTCTCTCTGGGGCTCAGGCTGTTGATGCCTCTTGGGAGAGGGCGGCACCTGGGGCGGGGCAGGGTGGCCCCACGTGGCTTGGATGGAACTTGCTACCCCACAGGGCCTGAGCGAGGTGAGCTTGCGCTGGGCCCACACACAGACACAGGTTCTTTCTTCCTCTTCCCCATCAGACCTCTGAGTGAGCCTTAGCCTCCCCATTACGGCAATGACCTTCCCTCCGAAACGAGGGGTTACAGGGTGTAGGCAGTCTTATTCCCACCTCACAGAGGAAGAAACTGAGGCTCAGAGAGGGGTCTGCCTAGGGTCACCAGGGAGCCAGCCTCCAAGTCAGCACTTGGGGATCAATCCCCCTGCTACAGAGCCCAGGCCGGGCCCATCTTGAAATGGACTGAACAAACTTTTTGTTAATGCCTTCTTCACCCAGCCCCCTAAATAGCCAAATAGATCCACCCTACACACGTCTAGGCCTTGGCCTTGAACAAGGCACAAGTGAAGGCCGGAAAACAACGGCAAACCAGTAGAGAAGCCGCCTCCCAGCCACACCTGCCCCCTCCTCACTCCCCCCCAGACTTCCTGCTTCAGCAGCGTCCCACCCCCGCGGCACCAGGCCTGCTCCCAAGAAGCCTGCCCTGATGCCCATCACCTTCTCCGGGTCCACAGAGCCCCCAAGTCCAGTCTGTTCCATTACATCACAATGATCCCATGGTACCTCGGGCTGGACTTCTGTCTCTACTCTAGACTGGGAGCTCCTTGAGGGCAGGGCTTGGGGCTGTGAAGACTCCTGGGGTTTGCCTGGCCGTGACTCTGTGGGACAGCCTCGCCGCCAGCCTTTGGCCACGGTGACCTCCCTCCAGAGAGATCTTTCTGAGACCTTCGGCCAGTCTCTGGCTTTCCTTATATCCTCTGTGTGCGCTATGAGGTCCCTCCCGGCTTCCCAGGAAGTCTGTGGGATCCTCTTTCCATAGGGAGGTGAGGGTTGGGCTGGGATTGGGGAGGAAGGACAGACTCTGGCACTTGTCGAGAACAAAGGAAACCATTGACCAACCCAAGGGGCGTGCTGACCAGCTGTGTCTTCAATCTATCCCGACATCTCCGCTCAGCTCGAGGGGACCCAGCCCTCAGTCAACACAAGGATCTCCTGCAATCAAGCAGAACCAGGGCTGGGTGCTGCCCTGACCGAGGGGGGCACTGGGATGGGGAGGCTGTGCCCTGAGGGAGCCCCTACCCCGAGTTGGGCAGTGCTGGGGCAACCCCTGGCCTGAAAGGACAGTCTTAGGGGAGGTTCCAGCCTGGCGAAGATGCTCGAGGGGCTCCTCTTTCCAAGGGAGATGAGTAGGTTCGGGAGCCCCGGGGTTCTGACACAGACGGCTCTCAGGACATGCTTGACCAGTCCTACGGGGACATCTAACGTAGACAGAATGCTTGGGGACCTCCAGATGGCCCAGCAGTGGCTCTGGCCAGATCAGCGCTCGGTACAGGGCAGTGGGAGGGATGGTGGCAGGCCAGGTGTTACATTGGGGGGGTCTTTTTCTGGGACCGCAAAGCCCCCGAATCCCCAGTAATGCTGCCTTCTCCTGCATCTCTAGCTGCTAAGCTCGGGGTTGGTCTTCTGGACATGGCACCCTCCCTCTGATCCAAAGCATCCGTCTTCCCTGACGAGTCCTCATCTGCAAATGCCCCTGGGATGCAGCAGCAGCCCAGATGCCACAGCTGAGGAAAGACGAGGGCCAGAGGAGGCTGGGGGTGGCGAAGGGCCTGCGGACCAGGCCATAGGAGGAAACGAGACCCTCGGCGTCCAGCCTGGGCCATCTGGCACTGGGCTCTCATAGAGGATTCCCGGGCAGGTCAGGGCCACCGAGGCTCCCTCCCGACATGGGTGGTCAGCCCAGGCTTACCCCTGCACTCCACAAACGCCCGGTAAATCAATACGAATTCATGAATACCGACCATGTGTGCCAAGTACTGTGCTGAGTGCACACACACAAAGGGAAACAGTCCCTGCTGTGCAGCTCCCAGCAAAGGGCCCCCCTGGGACTTTGGGCTAGGAGAGCTCTACCGCCTCCATCAAACCCCTCCATCCTTCTGAGCCCCAGACTGCTCACCTGCAAAATGGAAGCGCTGGCCAATTGGGAGATTCTAAGAATAACTCACCACAGTTTTAATATTTAAAACGACAGTAAAAGAGAAACATTCTCTGGCCGTTCTAGAGGAGGAAGACAGACAGACACACCTCTCTCTCTCTCTTCCCTTTTACTCCCCACTTTGCTCACAGCTACACGGGCTGTGGGATGAGGACTCACCCAGAATTCCTCAGGGACAAGAGCTCACGGGATTTTGAAGCAGTAGCAGTTTTAGGGACAAGAATGAGGGCTTGGGACTGATGCTTCCGAAGAGTAGGGCTGCGTTAAAGATGGTGGAGGGAAGCTACAACTACTCACATCCTGTTTTCTTTGCAAAGCAGAAATGACCTTTAGCTTGGGAAGGAAAGGACAGAAATGGTAAATGAGGAAGAGGGCCCAGGGAAAGCCAGCTACCCTTCCCGAGCGCCCGTCATCAGGTCACTGATAAGCTTGGATCTGATCTATCGACATGGAGAGGGAGAGAGAGGGGGAGAGAGAGGGAGAGAGAGAGAGAGAGA